TCATATTTTTCGTCAGTATTCCCCTAATGGATTTTTTCAATAATTACAAAATCATAACTAAAGTTAATATTTAAATAACTTCGGATTTTCTGTTTGTATTTTTCCACTGCATTATTATTAATAATTAAACTGTACATTAATAACAGAGTCGAAGGTAATAAAATATTATAGCAACATTTGGTCGTTTATCTGGCAGCGAATGCGCGCGCGGAACAGTAATGCAGCCACAATGCCGCCGTTATCGCGGTTGGAAGACGTGGAATCGCGTCAAGGGGCTATCGAATCTAGTTGTTTCCTCTGAGGCGTCGCGACGTCCATTGAAACGCGACGCGTCGCGTCGATTCTCCCATTCTGACGCCCGTTTCCACGCGTTCACGCTATTAACGTGTAAACACTAGCTCGCGAGTTTCCAAATTGATAAAACACCCAAAATTGTTCAACCGTGATACAACCTTTTATAGTAGTTTTGCATTCTCAAACACGTAATACTGTTTTATGTTATAGAATTCAATAGAATTTCTATATTTTAGAATTATTTTAAATTTTTACATATAATTAAATCGACTCCCTAAATTATAGAATTTTATAAAATTAATTGAGTAGCTTAAATTAATTATAATTGAGTAGCATAAATAATAGTAATTAATATAATTCTGTGCATTAGAATAACAAAAAATAAAACAAACATCAGGATAATAATAATAATAATAATAAGATGGATAAGAATAATAGAATAAAACATCGAAGTAATAATAATAATAATAATAACAATAATAATGAGATAAGAAAAAATAAATAATATTAATATTAACAAGAAACATGGAAAAGTAGAAGAGTTGAGATTAGGTTTAGTCAAGGGAAGTGAGGAGGAAACAATCGTCTACTTAAATAACTTAAAGATAGAAAAGCTAAGACTTAAAAAAAACATGGCCGATGAAAATTGCGAATGGAATGATCGAACGCTTTAGCGAATTCCTAGCTGAACCTACCGTAGCTTGAAATTACTTAAAATCGTTTCACTGAGAGAATTCTTCGATTCTTTTGTATTGTATCAGCGGAGATCGAGGTTCACGCACCGTTAAAAACGATTGGACAGAATTGCCTGCCCGCATACAGGGCAAAAAGCGTGGAGAGTGCGAGTGCCCATATCGTTTCGTTATCGACGAGCTGCTTTTGCGTCCTAACGTGCAACTTTTCCCGATATCGGCCTCCATCGAGCGTCCCCAGTTATCATTATCTATACTTCTGTATGCGTAAAATGACACATCGAATCGTCGGAGGGAAGTGAGAAATTTATGATCACAAATGAACTCGTAGCAACGAGTTCATAAATAACAAATAAGAAATTGTGAAAAATTAAGGAAGAATAAAGGAAACCAGAATAGCAAAATTGTAGGTATTGACGTCCTCTTTAAGAAAGATTCTATGTATTTCTCTTCTAATTTGAGTATTTAACGAGTTAAGTATGATTATTTGGCATTTTATTGATGTTGACGAAATCCGACCATCCCAGCGTCGAAACGGCGAACTTTTGGAAAAAAATTTCGTTTTTCCTTAATAACTTCTAAACCGTTGGAGATACGGGAAAATTGCATAGGACCTTTCTTGTAGAGCACGACGAGATCTACAATTTCCATATAAAAACTTTTCGCTAGCATTAATAT